TGGTGCCCTCTTCTGGCCTTGCAGGTGTGGAGGCTGAACACTGTGCACATAATAAATAAATCTTTAAAAAAAAAATTGAACTCTAGTTCACGTTTTTGAAAGACCTGAAAGAATATACAACTTGAAGTCCCTGACAGGAAAAAGAGAAAAAACAGTGAGAGATTTGTAGTCATTGGAAACTTCATTTTTTTTTTCCTTCGAGACCGGGTTTCTCTGTGTAGCCACGACTGTCCCGGAATTCACTCTTAGACCAGGCTGTCCTTGAACTCAGAGATCTGCCTGCCTCTGTCTCCCAAGTGCTGGGATTAAAGGCTGCACCATTATCACTTGGCAGGAAGCGTCTTATAATATTCTAAGTAGGTGGCATAAGTATGAGGCTGTCCATAACAACGAATTTGATGTGCCTTTAACGTCTAGTAAGCTGAGCCACTCCGGAGGCTTAAGCACACCATCCCTGGAAGCCATGATGACCTGTCTGTAAGCGAATGAACAAAGTGATGCGTAAGGGCTGGGGTGGGACTAGCCTGTTGCACACGTGCCTTCTGCCCGTTACCAGTCCTGTGAACAAAAGCAGAGCCCCATCTCAAATGGTCCTGGTCATGGCACCCGATAGCCCATGGTTGGGGGACTGTTCCACTTTGAGTACCTCAGTCAAATGGGGGAGTTTACATTCACAGATATTGGGTAGCATTCTGAAAGGTGGCTATGGAAACCAGTCATGTGCCCGTGGCCGAATGAGGAGGAAGAGAAAGGACAGTGCTTAGTCCAGTGAGAGAATGACAAGGGTACTGTTGGGTACACAGTGGAAGCTGCTGTCCTCAAAAGGGACAGCCAAGGTGGTTTAGCAGGGTGGAAGGAAGCACACTGTAGCAGGCCACCTTGTGGCAGCCTGTACATTGGGAAAGGTAGCTCACTATGGAAGAGGGTGCTCCAGATTGCCTGAACCCCAGCAGCAAAGGATGCTAGGGTGCCTTCTTGTAGTAGCGTGTGTCCAGTTGATCTGCACACCCCCTCTTAGTTCTCAGCTTGAGCTGTGTGGTGGCAGCTGTTCTGGGGCTGAGAGGCAGAGCTCATGGAGTCCAGCCACCTTTGACTTTATGAAGTTTCTTCTATTTCTGAGTCTTCTGTCCTTTTCTTTCTTTCATTCTTTCTTTCTTTCTTTTTTTTTTTTTTTTTTTTTTGAGACAGGGTTTCTCTGTGTAGCCCTGGCTGTTCTGGAACTCACAGAGTTCTTCCTCTGCCATCTGAGTGTGGGGATTAAAGGCCTGGGGCATTATATCTGGCTGGAGTCTTTTTTTAGATTTTATGTATGAGTTTTGCCTGCATGTATGTGTGTGCCATCTGTGTGCCTGGTGCCCATGGAGGTCAGGAGACAGCGTCAGATCTCTCAGAGCTAGAGTTAGAGGTGGCTGTGAGCCGCCTGTGGGTACTGGAAATTGAACCCAGGTTCTCTGCAAGAGCAGCTGGTGAGTGCCGTTATTTGGTTGAGTCATCTCTCCAGCCCTCTTAACTTTTGTTCATCTATTCCTTTAGTGATGCCTTGGGTTAAAAAAACATTCTCTAATGTGTCATTTTTACTAACGGTTTGAGTCATTTTCTTTGTTATTATTATAATCACTATCACTGTTTTTGGTGGTTTGAAGCAGGGTCTCACTGTAGATCGGGCTGTCTCGAACTCACAGAGATCCACGCCTCTGCCCCCAGTGCTGGGATTACGGAGGTGCTCCACCAGATCTGACTTTGGTTATTCTCTCAACAGTTGCCCAGGTAACAGGGAATTGAAATTCAGCCCCTTCACCTCACAGTTCCTCATATGTCTTCCAGCCTCTGCACTTTATGCACTTGGTTGTTGGCACACACAGGTTTCAGAGGCTTTGTTCTGTAGAGTGGATGATCTCACCTGAGGGACTGATTTTCTGCCGGCTCAGATTGGCCAGTGAGCCCTCTAGTGAATGCTTGCTGCAGTTAGCTCCCCTCACAGCTCCTCCTGTGCACCCTGACTAGGAATCTTCTTCCTGAGCCCGGCCCTCATCGAGTCTTACAGCTGCTGTTTTGCCCTGTGCTAGGGTCTCCTTTCATATTTGCTTATATGTGTCTTACTTGATTCTGTTTTGTTTACAATGGGCATTTCGGGTGACTGCTGTGGCTCTGTGGCTGAGCTTCTGCCTAAACGCCCACATTTGAACTAGCCACTCCTGCCTCTGGAAGGTTTAGGTGTCACTGTGGCCCCTGAAGTCTCCTTAGCTAGTGACTGAATAGCGGCAGTGGCCCTTCAGCCTCTGCTGAGGGCCCATTGTGTGTTGGTTACAGCTCTGCCTTAGCCTTGGTAGCTTCATGCTTGTGCAGAGTTTCACGGCCAACTGGAATCTAGAAGTCAGGGCTTTCTTATTGCCCCTGCCTCAAGTGCCCAGCAAAACCCCTGTTTGCAGCATGCTAGACTCCCAGAAATGCCAGGGTTTTCAAAGATCTTGGGGGCACTCATTCCTATTTTTCCTCTTGAACTGTTTGATCAGCATCTTGTCAGTCCCACTCTCAGAGCCTTCTCCAGTACTGCAGTGTTAAAACAACTGCTCTTTCCTCAAGATAGTGGCTTGTGATGTACTTCTGGCTGGACAACAACTCACTGTAGCCCAGGCTAGCCTTGATCTCACCAGCCCCTCTGCCTTACTTTGCCTTAGCTTCCTGAGTGCTGGGAGTACAGGTGTGAGCCACCATGCTGGGCCAGCAATGTTAGGCTCATTTAACCCTCACTGTTTGGAATAGCTGCCCTGCAGGTAAAACAGATCAGGTAAATCATCCGGAGTGCTTTCCAGCAATCCACCAGGCAGGTCAGCGCTGCCAGCTCTTTAGGAATTAGGTTTGGTAAGCTCAAAGCCTGCCTGTTCCATCCTGTGCCTCCACCCCTACTACTGCTGGCTGTGTAGTTGTTATAAATCTGAGGCTGACGGTTTTCAAGGAGCTGAAGGAAGAAGAGGTAACACAAGTTACCTCTTTTTTTCCTTGTTTGTTTTTAAAGGTAGAGTCTCACTATGTACTTCTGGCTGGCCTGGAACTCACTTTGTAGACCAGGCTGACTTTGAACTCACGTATAATTGCCTACCTTTCCTAAGTGCTGGAATTAAAGGCATGCACCACCACACTCTGCCGTTATCCTTTTTAACATTTATTTACTTGTTTGTTTGTTTGTTTATTGAGTACTGGTCCTTAGAAGGTTCAAGCTTTTCATCTCTTTCTGAAACAGTCAATAAAATAAAAACTCTGCTGACACATGCCTAAGTATGGGTACATGTAAACCACAGTTTACACATGGAGGTGTCGGTCCTCAACTTCCACCTTGAGATAGAGTTGTTCTCTTTTTATTAAACTTAATTATTGTGTATATGATGTATTTGTATGGTGTGTGTGTGCACATGTTTTTATGGTGCACATGTTTGTATGGTGCTTGTGTTGTATAGTGCTTGTTTGTATGGTGCACATGTGTGTATGATGCATGAGTATATGGTACGTTTGTGTGGTGCACGTGTGTGTATGATGCATGTGTGTATGGTGTAGTGCTCTTGTGTGTATGGCATGGTGCACTCATGTATATAAGGCATGCATTTTTGGCGTGCATGTATGTATGGTATGTTCATATCTCAGCCTATGTGTATGGAGTTCAGAACCAGTTCTCTCTCACCTTTATGTGGGTTCTGGGGAATCGAACTCAAGTTGTCAGGCTTGTACAGCAAGCACTGTGACTACTGAGCCATCTCCCTGGGTTTCTTATTCACCACTGTGTATGTGTACGTGCTGGCACTTGGAATCCAGGTGTCCTCCCACCTTCCCACAAGAGACGGGCACTGCCTCCAGCTTTACCTGGCCCTGAGGATCCAAACTCAGGTCCTTACACTGCAGCAAATACCAGACCCACCAACCCGTCTCCTCAGCTCCTTTCCCTTTCCTGCTTACAGTACTAGCCAGACCTAGAGCCTCCATGTGCTAGGTAAGCACTCGACCACTGAGCGATGGCCCAGCCCAGCCTTCATTTTTGGTAGTGCTCTAATTGCCACCACGGAGGGGCAATTAGACTTTGAGACATCTTCACACCGCCATCCCAGCTGGTCCCCTCGGTCATGTTCTCTTCCCTCATCCTCCAAGGTCTGGTAGTCCCAAGGAGTGGTAGCAAGTGTAGGTTCTTGTAAGCTGCTGGCCTTCTCTGTTTACCAGGAGTGAACTTCAGTCTCAGGGTGATGGCAAACATGGCCTCCATCCTCCATCTCCAGTGTATGCTGTAGATGAATGATGTTGCTCTGTGGGGTCAGTTTCTCATTTGCCCACGAGAGTTCATGCTTGGTGCATGGTCCTGTGATGGGGTAAGCCTGGCGCACCCCTACTGAGGGCTGGAAAAGAACAAACATCTGAGAGTTAAAACGGTTGGTTCCTCCTGGTACTGTGGGGATTGGAGATTTGTGCCAGAAGTAAGTCATTTCTCCACCATATATTGTGGGTCCTGCCCAACAGCGCGAGGGCTGTATTAATGCTAACACTGTGTTTTAATCTGTATGTATAAGAGTTCTCCATGCAGCATAAATTTGAATTTTATACCTCAGAAATTTAGTTAGATTAAAACCTTCCACCAGACTCCACTTTGTAAGATGGTCATGCAGATCTGTCCACAAAGTCACCTGAGAAGCTCCATGTGCTTGTATGGTTCTTACCGTGTTCAGTTTGTTCTTTTAGCATTTTTTGTATTGGTGCATTGTTTGTCTCTTTCATTTGTTAGATGATAATTTATCACACCATTTAAAATGTGACGTTACATGGTGGTATAACAGTTTTGAAATCTTGAAAGATATAACTGGAAACATTTGCTTGTATTTTTTCCACCTCAGTGTGTTTTGTTAATGAGACGTTCTATGCTGCCATAAGCCTGGAGCTGTAATATAGGTGTTGATTGATTTTGGATGGCAAGGCCTCTCTAATTGCAGATCTTGACATTTGCGTCACTTGTGATGTTCTAGGTGAGCAAGACATGGAAGGTGATTTCTGAAGACGAGGTGCTGTGGTACCGGCTGTGCCAGCAAGAGGGGCATCTTCCCCGGAGCAGCATCTCTGACTACTCCTGCTGGAAGCTCATCTTGCAAGAGTGCCTTGCCAAGGAGCATATGTTAAGAACCAACTGGAAGGTAGGCAGTGGCCAGCAGCATCCCCTGAGGCAGGGACAGTGGACAGCAGGCCTGCAGTTGCTGCCTGAGGCTCATTCCTAGAGTGGAGGGAGCAGGGTGTGCTGAGCAACCCCAAGCTCCTCCAATCATTGATTTCAGCATCTTCCTTACAGTCTAGAGCTTCTTCCTGCTGTGCAGGAAGGGGGCTGAAGTGGACTGTCTGACACTGCCTTTCCTGGCTGGTTAGGGTCACTGAAATCTTCTGTCAACCCCCTGCTCCTTTCTCTTTCCTTGCCTCCCAGAGGGCTGACAAAGCAGCAGCACCATGCACAGGCAAGAGACCCTTGGAGGCCCCTGTGGAGCTGCTGCTGGAGAGGTGGTGTGGTGCTGAGTGCTGTCTGCTCATGCCTCACGTAACCCTTGGCTTGCTGCCCTGACATTTATCACTTCAAGGCTCTATAGAAATACTAGATCAAGCTAAGCATTTGCAGAGAAGCATTTCTGGGAGAGCAAGCTGTCAGGAAGCATGTTCCAGGGTTTGGTGAAGCACAGCGAGGTGGGTGCATGGCCAAGCTGCTTCCCACCTAGGCAGCTGGGAAGTCACCCATTGGAGATGGGGTAGAACTGGGCCCTTCTCTCACTTAAAGGTTAATCCAGATAGACTTTGAGGCAAGAAAGCCTTGTCATGACTGGTGATGATATGTTGCCTATGTGATGTCTGGTCTGTCTGTAGTCACCTTGTAACCAGATTAATAACCAGTGCACTGGTTCCATGACATCAGTGAGCAGTGCTTACCCCTCTGAGATGGCCAGCTTCAGCACTGGTGATGTTGGGCCAGCTCTTTTCAGGATGCCAAGCGATACACCAGGGTCCCCACTAGATGCCAATAGCACTCTGCCCTTGTTGTGGTACACAAGATGTCTCCTCTCCAGGTGTTACCAGGTATTCCCTGGGTGGCCAGTTGCTCCTAGTTAAGAACTAGTCATCACTGGAGAGTTGGCCAGGCCAGTCTTCTTAGCGCATGAAGACACTGGCCCCATGGCACCTGCATCCACAGAAGGTAGCAGGAAGTAGGCTACTAATTAGGTCTTCTGATGGATGGGTAGAATGATCTGTGTAAGAAAGCTGCTCAGATGAAGCAAGGCCTGGACACAGAGGCCGCAGTCCTCCTGACGGCAGAGGAAGGAAGGCTTGGAGCTGGGCTTTCCTACCTTTCTGTCCAGAGAGGCAGGAACCAGGAGAGTGAGCTTGTCCCTGGCATTGAATTCAGAGATTTCAGAGCCAAGGGAAGACAACAGCTCTGCTTATGCTGCTGCTTTGGGGTGGGTGTGGGGTGGGGGAAAGGGGAGGAGGGCAGGGTGTCCTCATTTGGGCTAGAGGTGGTAGAAGTAAGGAGCCTTTGGCATTGGTCACAGTTCACAAGGAAGATGTGATGCTACCCAATGTCTGTTCCCTGTTTTTCTCCAGCAAGTGTAAAACCATCAGGTGTGCTTTGTATGTAGTTGTCTATCAAATGATCTGGTTAGATGGGCAGCAGCACGTGGGGGGCTCCTGGCATCCTAGGTCACCTCCCAGAACTCTGAGCAGTGAGGACCTCTTGGGTGAAATTTAAGTGATAGATCGTTGACTACATGTCAAGGTAGACATCTTAGTGCAGTTTTAGGAAGAACCTTCACTGACACATGCAAAGGGCATTGTGCAGGTGTGCAACCTCTGCATGCCCCCATTCTCATCTGGGTGGCTCAGAGTAAACACTGCTCCCAGGCCTGTGACCCTAGGGATGGTCTGACATGGCCCCCATGGAGCCTGCCTGTGTTCAGGGCTCTGGCCAAGTCACAGGTACAGTGACTCTGACCTAACTGAGATTTATTTCAGAGGGCAGGCAGTGGCATGGTAACTCCTAAGTTAGTGTCTGAAAACCCCAGAAAGGACCCTAGAGTTCTGAGGACTTCCTCCTAAGGCATGAGCTGTGAATGCATGTCTACCTGGACCTGCAGCTCAGAGCTGGCTGGAAATGGGTTTCCATAAAGCTTTCCTTCTGGCCTTTGCCTCGCAAATGCCAGGAAGGATGAGATTTTTAATGTCCTAGCTGCGTGCTGTTCTCTCTCCCCAATAAGGGAGCCAGGACCATGCTTGGATCTAGAATGGGAGGCAGCTTCTCCATTTGTGAGCTCAAACAGCACCTGCCAGTATACCAATGTAAAGATGGTTTCAGCGATTATGGGAAATAACCCAAAAGTCACACGAGGGCCCAGAGCCGGGACCTGCCTCCTTCCACCCTCTCACTCCCCACTTATGTTCCCAGGGAGCACCCCAAGTTCAGGCTTAGGCCTTTCTTCGAAGACCATTTCCCAGAGAAGTCAGACTCTTAGTCAGAATGGCATCTTTTCTGCCCTCTCTGGTCTGTGTCCCCTGTGAGCGTTTCATTTATTCTGAAGTTCTTTTACATGTCCACTAAATGCTTTCTCCTGCAAGCTGAACTGCTTAATGTACTTGATGTACTGCTTCAGGCCGGGACACTTACCTGTGTGCACATACTTCTTCCTACTGGTGACATTCTGGGGACAGGCCAGCACCTCATTCACTGCTCCATGCAGTGCCTCTGGTATGGCTCACCATGTTGCCATTTTATCCTCCTGAATGCCCAGTGTCGTGTGTGAGGTCAGTGCCACTGAAGACGGTTGTGACGTGTGAGACCGAGCACGTTTTCAAGGGGCCACCCCAAGACTAGTATAAACCACACCCCCTTTTCCTCACAGAATTGTTTACAAGGGGCTACCCCAAGACTGGTATAAACCACACCCCCTTTTCCTCACAGAATCGCAAAGGGGCCGTGAGTGAGCTGGAGCACGTTCCTGATGCCGTTTTGTGTGATGTGCGCTCTCATGATGGTGTCGTCATCGCAGGGTAAGCAAAGCCATGTTCCTTCGCATCAGCTCACTCTGTGTCTTCACTTTGTACCCTCTGCCCAAGTACCCCACTTGGGTACTGTGGCCGCTGTTCCTCCTTCCCATCAGTGCAGCTTCTGCAGGCCTTGTTGTATCCTGGCTGGGACATTTAACATCAGCTTCTGAGTTTCTTTGGCTGCTGTTCCAGAACCCACTGTGAGGAGTTCTTCATGGCTGTTACCACAGAGATCTGGACATGCATCCTTTTATTGTACAATCAGATCAACTGTATTGTAGGGTTACGATGTCTCTTGAGCTAGTGTCTCAAAATGTAAACTATATATACTTTTGCCATCTCAGCCTGTGTGCCAGAAAGCAGGAATGCAGCCCATTCTTCTGGGTCAGTTGGCTTTGTGGGAACTGCTGCAGGACTCCTGCCTACCTAGAGGAAACCAGAACTAAGAGCCAGCCTTGGACTTCTACAGTCAACAGTCAGCGCTTCCTTCATCGTTTTCTCTCCTTAAGTAGCATTCCTCAGTGAGCACCGCGTGAAGGCCAGCAAATGGCTCAGGCGGTCAAAGTGCTGCTACCAAACCTGATGATACCTGAGTCTGACCCTGGAACAAGAAGTTGTCTGACCTCTGTATGTGCCATGACACCACACCCAAATAAATAAAATGTTTTAAAAAAATTAAAGCACCATTTGAATTGAAATTCCAAATAGATTATTGAAATATTTTATGGCAGGCCCTGACATTAAAAATTGTTTCTCTTTCATTACACTTTATTCATTTATTTACTTGTATTATATGTGTGTTTGGGAGTGCACACAGTACTTGTGTGCAGGACAGAGGACAACTTACAGGATTGGTTTCTCCTGCTACTGTGTGGGTCCCAGGGGTCGGACTCAGTTTGTCAGGTTTGGTGGCAGACGCCCTTAACCACTGAGCCATCTCACTGGCCCTTCTGTTTTAAAGATGATCTGGCCAGGAAGGCCAACTCTCCTTAGCTTCTATTCACTGGCCTCACTTTCTTAAGCGACCCCTCAGCTCTTACATCTGAGTGGGTAACCTGCTTCCTGTCTGTCTGTCTGTCAGGAGCAGTCAGACCTATAGCTTCATTGTGAGGTGTGGTTCTCTGAGCTCCTTGACAGCAGAGAGCTTTGCCCCATGCCTGAGGACCAGTGGTAACCAGCCAGGGTTACATTGCTCTGGGTTCTGCCTAAACACATAAGGAGGTTGTGATGCTGCAGCTGGACTAAGAATCCTGGCAGACTGGAGATATAGGTGACTCTCCTTCCTCAAGGCCAGTTAAGAGCTTCTGAATGTATAGCCCCCAGAAAGACAGCGTCTGAAGGTAGCTGCTGCCCTCTCCCCCTCCTTCCTCTCCCTGGGGATCTGCTCAGCACTAGATAGGCCACCAAAGGCCCAGCCATACCAGTGTTCTGGGGATCGATTGTGTGAAACTTGAGCTGCGGGTCACAGAGCCTCCTCGCCTCCTCTCTGAGAGAAGCTGCAGTTGATGGCTCCGTCCGAGACCCTGCGATCTTACTGTGTGCAGAGCATCTTGTGTTTATCATTAAAATTTTATCTGGCGGTTATGATGCTTGTTTTCTGGGTCAGCTCCTGAATCCTTTTCATTTGAGACAGTGGTGTTTGTGGTTACCTCATTCCCAATCAATGTTGTATTCTCTAGGCTTTCTGCAGTTCAGCATCTCCAAGGAGCCTCTTAAAGAGACAGCACCGCCTCTCCTGATTTTGCTCATGCTGATTTCCATACTCTTCTTGTTTCTCTTTGTTTGGCAGAAGTAGAACCTGACCAAAGGTTGTGCTCCATGTTTTAGCCTCTGAAATCTACTCCTGCGGTTGAAATGCAGGCTTGCTCCTCCCCACCTTGGCATTCTCTGTCCACTGCCCTTGCCCCTTTCCTGTCTTAGACGTTCTTGATCGTCCCTTCCTGACATTCAGACTCCTGTGTGGTCTGTGGTGATTCCTAACTCAAGTGCACTGTGTGTTTGCCACACTGTCTGTTGAGTCACCTGCCACATCTGTGTGAAAACTGAGCTATAGTGAATATACCATGGTGTTCACATTTCACTCTCAAACAGTGAACCTCAGACATTTCAAGATTCTACAACTGCTGCTGCTAATTCCAGAGCATCCTGCAAAAAACCCATTTCCCGTGCTTTATTTTTATTTTTATTTTTTTTTTTGTTGTTGTTGGTTTGTTTTGTTTTGTTTTTGTTTTTTCGAGACAGGGTTTCTCTGTAGCTTTAGAGCCGTGCTTTTGTTTTTCAAAAGAGGGTTTTTCTGTGTAGCCCTGGCTGTCCTGGAACTCTTTTGGTAGACCAAGCTGGCCTTGAACTCAGAGATCCACCAGCCTCTGCCTCCTGAGTGCTGGGACTAAAGGTCTGTGCTACCACACTCAAGAACCCCAGTCCCTATTTTTGATGGGCCATTTGAGCCCTGCCTCCTTCCAGGAGTTCCAGGAGTTCCTGAATACTCTTGATTAAGACTGTTACCCAGGGGTGGTGTGTGGTTCTTACCCTGGGGTGGTTAGTAGTGCTGTATGTGATTTTGTATGGAATAAGCACCAACATTTCATACATAGCCTCTCTCCCCTCCCATTATACTCCATTTTCCCTGGGAAGGCAGAGAAATGTTTGGGATTTTTTGTTTGTTTGTTTGATTTTTAGTTGTCACAACTTAAAACCATGGAGTTTTAAGCTTGGAAGCGACTTCAGCGCTGATCTTGTTCCAGAACTCTTGGGTGTAAGTGGCAGAGACTCAGAGCCTAGACAGACACTTGCCCTGTGCACACACCACCCTCCCATCTCCTCTGAAGCCTGTCACAGCATCATTTTGTTCAAGATGCTAATGCAGTCATGTTACTTTTGCAGAAGTGTTAGAGAGTGGCTGGAGTCTCCTGACCCCGCAGTCTGCACCTGTAACTTGCTGGACCACGTGTGTTGTTTTCCAGGCTAGTTTTCACTTATTTTCATATAATATAGTCAAAGCTTATATTGTATATTATTACTTTTTTCTTGCAGAGTTTTTCTATGTTACTTTTCATTACTTTCTTAGACTTAATGCAAAATTCCCCAGCTAGTTCCTAGTTTTCCCCTTCATTCACCCAATGGCAGACAGTAAATTAAGTCGCTTTCGGTTTCCTAATTGTTCTGAGAAGTGTGTTGGAGGATGACATAGGACATGTGGACACAAATTAGAAGGCTGTGATATCACTAGGCTACATACTCTCTGAGGGATACAGTTGTATGTGGCCTGCTGCTGAATGGGCCGTTGTGTGGCACACGATGTGGTAGCGTTAAGAGCATTTCATGTGGATGGTCTGCAGATGGTTTTGTTTCTGTTTTGGTGCCGCAGATCGTCTTTAAGATTATAAAGCAGAGGCTGCTGCAGAAGCTTGGTGTCCTTTGTAAACACGTGTCCAGTTCAGGTTCTGTGCTATCACTGTGTTGATAGTTTTCTAAGTGGACGTGTCCAGTTCAGGTTCTGTGCTATCACTGTGTTGATAGTTTTCTAAGTGGAATCCCTTCTGTGAGTCTGTGGACTGAAAGGAATTTTCTATCTTCCAGATTCAGAGACTTTGAAAGCTCTTCCATAGCCCTCAGTTTTCCCAGTGTGACTTTGTGATTTGAAGTTCGCAAACCACAGCTCACGCTTGCTCCTGTGCACATCTCCTTATTTCTGGATGCTGCCAGAAATACCTCTGTCCTCAGGCCTCTGGTGGCTTTCTGGCTCATAATCTACCAGCCGTTACCTCTTGAGCATCTTGCGGTTTGATTCTGTTGACTGCACCCTTCTTGAGAAGGCAGGGTTGTGTGGTAAACATCTTTGGCCCCATAGCACCACCCAGGTTACATGGAGAGCAAGTCCTGGAGTCCCAAATGAAGTCTCCCTCTGGCCTTTCCTCTTGTCTTACTGAATCTCCATAGGTTACTCAGCCGGGAGACCAGCATCCCAGAGCATGTGAGGGCTAGCTGAGCCTGCTTCTGCTAGGACTAGTGCTTCAGATATCTCTGTTCCAGTTAAAATTTTCCACTTCTTAGGGAAAAAATCATGTTCAAGTTCACTCTAAGTACATCCCTTCCTGTCCTGCCAGACTCAGTGTCCACCTGTATGTCTGTGCCCTGGCCCTTGCTGTGCTGGCCGGGCGGCCCCAGCCTGCCTTCTGCGTCACATTTCATCTGCAGAGCTGGTTGGCAGTGCGTCAGGAGATGTCTGGGTGGCCTGTTTTTTAACTTTTAATTTTGTAGGTGACTACTTTTAAAATTTTAGGAGGTTCTTTAAATTGTATGTTGGAATTGAACGTGTAGCTCAGGAGAAGTATGTTTGGAAAACACGAGGTGTTAGATTCAGTTCCCATCACAAAGAAAAGAGCATCAGGAATGCTGCATGGATTTGTGGAGGAGAGTTCATAGAGGCAGAGAGCTGCGATAGTCTCCCTGTTCTCTGGGGCTTGGCTTCTCTTCTCCCCGGTGGTCCTGCGGAAGTTAAGACTTGCAAACAGATGGCATCATGGACTCAGAAAGCTCACTGCACCAGCCCAAGGTGTGGGGCCAAGTTGTGTTTGCTGTGTGTACTGCCGGAGAGCCACCTAGAGAAGAGCAGCCCAGGCAGAGCCTGGGGGTCCGGGGAGCTAAGCCTGGGCTCCTTTGAGGTCCCATGCCAGCTCTGCCGTCATTAAGCTATTAGCTCACCAAAAGCTTTTATCCATGCCCAGGAGTGTATGGTGGTGTGTAGTACCTCCCACTCGCTTGGGATCACATGTCTGTGGCATCCCATTTCCATTAGTTAGCTCACTTTCTACTCAGACTAGAAGACTGCATCTCCCAGATGTTTAAAGTATTCACCCATTTACATGCTAAGGGATGCTTCAGTCTACCCAGGTGTTTCCCCTGGTTTCCATGGTCACCATGCATGGTTCCTGCCTTTCCTGGGGAAAGCCACAGCTGTGCATCCTTGATTCCCCTCTGTAGTGGGGTTGGAGGGAAAACTA